TATGCCTAAATAAGGAGCTCTATATAGAGAGGGTGTGGGCACTGTACCCCAAAGTTTGGCATCATTGGCAAGCTTGGCCAGTCCACCTCTGACACCAGTGTCCACATGGTTAATAAAGATGTTGAAGAGTACAGGTCCAAGGATGGAGCCTTGGGGGACACTACTGGTCATAAGCACCATGATGATTCACTTCTGTCAACTACCACTCTCTGGGTCCAGCCTCAGAGTGGTAGTCAACAGAAGTGAATCATACATTCATACACACATATTTATTTATTACACACACACACACACACATATATAAAAATATACACACACACACAAATTAGAATCTGAGCCTGTAACCTCTTATCAATTAAAAATCAGTATCAACTTAACTTGAGGAAAGAACAAAAGATTAAGCCCCTAATTTTATTAAAAGTGTTATGGGTCCTTGCAATTTTTTTAGAACATTTTTTGGTGGTGTGTGAAAATTTGTCTTTGAAATTCAAATTTCTTCCTTTCCTTAGATATTTCATATTAAGACACTTTTTCTCCATGTAGTCTGTTCCTGGAAATGAAATTTGCTACCGTGACCAAAATTTCCGTTAAAAATTAAGTTGACAGAAATTCTGCTCTAGTTATTCTTTTGGTCCCTTATCCAGCCATGTAGATTACATTAGCAATATATGTATACATAATATTATATATATTTGTAAGTATTGGCTACAGCTAAGTTGGGTTTATTTTTTAGAAACTATTTTGTTTTGCATTCTTAAACTATTTGACACACAGGATGCACTTGCCAGATTATATTATTTTTAGGGGTGGATAATAATACAAATAGTCAAAATCTGGTCATCCAAAGCAGGCAGCAGCAAAAAAAAAAAAGATCTGTATCTAGAAATATGAAAACAATCAGAAACTGAAACATTTGTTTCTGTTATTTTCAAACAAACAAGCACTGAACAAGAAAAATAACTGATACTGGACAAGTTATATTGGACTAAATGGCTTTTGCAATTCATACTCATAATTTCCACTGAAGACAAAAACAAAAGTCCACATGTAGCTGTTTATGTATTTTTACTATTCTATAGCCAAGATCTCAAAAAGAAGGGCCCATTGCTTTTAAACAGAATGAATGTACAATTAGGAACCTGGAAGTCTGCAAAAGTTATTGTCTTCAACAGTTTTGGACTAGACCTTACAGCAGAACTTCATAAAGAATATTAATGAAGGAACAATTTTACCAATTGCTAGAAGTATCTGATGCTGCCCAGAAATGCAAGTGCATTTTTCAGCTTGTAAACTAGTTAGTTCCTTAAAAGGAAAAAATCAGTAATTTTATTTTTAAAATATGTTTGAAACATATCATGGAACCAAGACTATTGGAAAGAGTTCTTTAGGAAAAGGGATTTTGGGTTGACCCTTGAAATATGATATCCCATTAAGACTAAAATGAGCAAGTGAAAAGGGACATTAAAAACCCCAAATTAGAAAAATGTTAATCATGATTTTGTTTCAATTCTCATAAAAGTTCTACCTGTATTTAACTGAAAGTTAAGTTAATGTTTTATTCAACCCAGTTTAACAATCTTTAGTTCTTTGCCTATGCACTGTACTTCTCATTTTCTGCTCTATTTCATATATTTGGAAATCTTCTGAAGAAGAGAAAAAGGAATCCTAACTCTTAAAATCCCATAAGAGGTTATAATTGTAATCACTCCTAAAATGGTATTACTTTTTCATACCTGATCTGGCAGATTTAGAAATGTACAAACTGTTGTATTTTGAGAAGGAACATTATATAAGGACTAAATAGAGGAAGTATGATCCTGAACACACAAACAGGAACTACAGCCATCTGAGTTTTCTCTTCTCTTCAAAGGAAGTCCAGCATAGCCTCTGGCCAGTCACTTACTTTCTTTGTGCCTTCAACCGCCATATGTAAAACTGGTGTAGTACTCTTTCCCTAGAGAATACATTTAATAGATTTCATATATATTAGGCTGGAATGGATCGAGTCCAGCCCCCTGCCCCAGGAGCAGGAAGTCAGCTAGGGTCAAAGGATACCAGAAAGATAAGCGTCCAGATGTTTCTTAAAAGAATCCAGAGTACATGCTTGCACCACCTCTGGAGGGAGTCTATTCCAGGCCTTGGGGGCTCAGACAGTAAAGAAGTTTTTCCTTATGTCCAGCCTAAAACAGTCTTGGAGGAGTTTGTGGCCATTGGACCTGTAATCCCATGGAGCGCTCTGGTGAACAGGCGCTCCCCCAGATCCTGATGCACACCCTTTATATACTTATAGGCTGCCACCAGGTCACCCCTAAGCCTACACTTTTCCAGGATGAAGAGTCCCATGGCTCTCCGCCTCTCTTTATAAGGCCTGTTTCACTTGCCCTCTGATCATGTGCGTGGCTCTCCTCTGGACTCTCTCTAGCTTCTCCACATCCTTCTTGAATTGTGGAGCCCAGAATTCATAGTTTCATAGTTTCTAGGGTCGGAAGGGACCTGAGCAGATCATCTAGTCCGACCCCCCTGCCATGGCAGGAAGAGCACTGGGGTCAAATGACCCCAGTAAGGTGGTCATCCAACCTCCTCTTAAAAACCCCCAGGGTGGGAGCCTGCACCACCTCACTTGGAAGCTGGTTCCAGACTCTAGCCGCCCTGACCGTGAAGTAGCGCCTCCTGATGTCCAACTTAAACCTTCCCTCCGCCAGCTTGTGACC